TGTTTGGTTTCTTCGAGAGAACTCTTGCTAAAACTCAAGATCACATTTGGTTTGAAAGAACGGAAATGAAGGACAGATTGATTGTAACAAAAAGGTATTGTTTATGTACGCGTAGAAAGATAGTTTTCCGTGATAGCATTACTTAAACCTATCCAGTATTTCTACATGATTTTTTTTTTTATTTTAAATGACACAAGTTACGTTTGAACCCCGTCAACAAGGTCCTTATTATGCTAAGAAAAGGTCGAATTAAGCAATTTGAGTGATGCTAGGATACTACGCCTGTGCAATTTAAATTTCAACCAAGCTGTTCCAGGCATTTCAGTTTTTAAAACAAAGCATAATGCTAAATAGTTAACGGCGCGTTAGAAGCGGCGGAGCGAATGCGAGAGAACCGATCCAAATCTTCCTCGTTTTTTACTCCTCTGCTGCTATTACGTTGTTTACTATCGCGCTTCGTTTTGCCAACTGAACGCCAGGAATAGGTTGAAATTCTGTTAAAGACAACATAGTGTACGTGATTAGTCAAGGAATTTCAATTTCTCTCAAATGCATACGATTCAAGAGATTTTAGTCGCTGAAAAACCTCGTAGAATACGGGCAGTGCTCTAATTAGAGCGATATAATTGTGATTGCAGAAAGAAATATCGGCGCGAAAATGTTCAGTGCAGTTTTTCACTAACTACGAATGGTACTTTATCCCCAGATTGAGAGAACATGTTCAAGATGCAACTAAAAACCCAATGTTGATATTTCCTGAAGGTGAGCAGATTCCTCTGTTGGTTCACATCTGTCGTCCTTTGAAATTTTTTCCTTCACCGTCATGGTTTTCTTAAAAAGTCCCACATATACTTTTTACTTTTTATGTGTCAGTTGTCTTGGGAATTGTGGTCGTTTCGCCTGCGAGTCGACCAGCTCACGAAAGTCTCATAGGTCGTTTCGCCAAAGTGTTAGGTCATTTCACTAAAGTTTCTTTTAGTTTAGTTTTCTTCGAAGTATTTAACTGCCCTAATACGTTGGCGAAACGACCTGAAACGTCAGCGAACTGGTTGTTAGGGAAACGATCGGTTACCGTGTTGAGAGATAGGGAGGGAGTGAGGAGGCATCGATTACCGTTCGGCATCGATTATCATTCAGCATCAATTACCGTTTGGCATGGATTATCGTTTGGCGTCGATTACCGTTCTGTATTTTGGCATCGATTATCGTTCGGCATCGATTGCCGTTCTGTATTTCGCCATCGATTACCTTTCGCCACAATTTTTCGGCTGACCCTATTGTTTGCCTTGCCTCAAAAGTAGTAAAGTGTGGTGTAAAATTTTTTTGTCTTCACAGGAACATGCATCAACAACACATCCGTGATGATGTTTAAGAAGGGCAGCTTTGAGATTGGTGGAGATATTTATCCTGTTGCAATAAAGGTAAGGTCCTGGAACTGTTCAATTTTCTTTAGTTCGTGCTGTTGAACCTTCTGTGAGAAGGGGAAATCAGATGCAGTAATGATTGCGCTTAGAGTGTATTTTAATTGAATGTCGTTAAACCAAAGCCAACTTCAAAATCTCAGCAAAGTGAAACGAAACATTGGTTGAGTGTGATTGTGGAAAATTCCCTTTTAAGGTGGCTAGCAACCGGTATTTATGTACGCTCTGACTGGCTTGTTTTCCAACTGGTAGAGCTGTTTTTTCTTTTTCGGGCGAAAAGACAGATGAATAAAACTGTGTCAACTTTTACACATCATATTGTTGTCTACAAGTTATTGAGAGTTTATTGTATTTTTTGATAAATTTTATTTCTTTAGTACGATCCTACTTTTGGAAATGCATTCTGGAATTCCAGTTCTGAAGGTTTCGCTATGTACCTATTTCTTCTGCTGACAAACTGGGCACTAGTCTGTGATGTGTGGTATCTTCCGAAAATGACTCGTCAGGTACAAAGAATTGTGTCGATGAATTTTAATACGCTTACTATTGCTTTTTTAGTGGCGGGCTTATATGCGAACTTTGATGTGCTCGATTTCAGACTTCTTACTTCATGGCGTTTCACAATTAACAATTTTTCTTGAACTACAGGAGGACGAGAGCGCTGCACAATTTGCAAATCGCGTCAAGACAGAGATTGCTCGTCAGGGAGGGCTGGTTGACCTTATCTGGTACGTTTTTGTTCGGACACAGACAACTTTGTTCATGAAAATTTTCTCTCCGGCTCTGAAGAGCTACAGAATTTTCCCGGTTGAAAATCAACGGTACATAATCAGTCAGGTTTTGAAACTTTTAAATTCCAACCAACGCACTGGTCAACTACGTGGCCCGACTGTTAGCCGACTGTCAGCCGACTGCCGACTAAGACGTCGGCCACCAGTTGCGCTCAGCTGCCGCTAAACTAAACCTATTAACCCGGCAGTTGTACACTAAGGAAGCTGTATCTTGTATCAGACGACAGGTGAATTGCTTAGCTTTTTGTTGCGTGAAGTTTAAGTTGAACGAAATGAACTGAACGTTAGATGAATTGTGAAAAGCTGGCTCTCTTAGCTTTGCGTCGTAGCTCTTGCCGATGAATTTTGCCAATTCAAGCAGCTTTGACGTAAAGTTTTATTTCTTCCCTTTGACTTTCAGGGATGGACAACTGAAACGAACGTCTGTGAAGCCAGAATTCCGCCAACAGAGACAAGAAGACTACGCCAGCACATTGAAGATTGATTAGAGATGCCAGAGGTTTACTTAAGAAAGGAAGAATGTACCATAGATATGCAAGGTGCACGGAACATCCAAAAAATCCCTCCATTCTGTTTATCTTTGTGAATTGTCTTCCAGAAAACTTGCGCCACTCTCTTAACCAATCAGATTCAAAACTAAAACCAATCGCGACTTGGTCACCCGCGTTTTCCCGCGCTTTGGACAGTTCACTTGTTTTTTTCTTTGACATGTGATTGGCTTGTTGTAATCTGTTCCTTTCATCTGATTGGCTGTTGTGATTACTTTGGTTTTGGTTTGCAACACCCAATCGAAATACACTCTATGAAGTTGATTAATGAATAATTGTTATTTTTTTAATGCAGTCAGATGGTCGTATCAGAAAGGATTTATTTGGGTAGCGTTAGGGATAGTCACATAAACATTTGTTAATAGTTTTGTTAGGTAGAATTATTTCGTAGGAGAGCATATATATTTAACATGTTTGATATTTTTGCTGGTACTTACTCAACAATATTTTGATACAGTTTGATACTTCGTAAAGAGAATAACGAGGGTTTATGCAAGAAAACTATCTTAGTTTCCCTGGCGTAAGGGTTGAAGTTTCGCGATTTTCTCTTATTATAAATAGGGAAAATCGCTCAAATAAGTAAATAGGGTATTGGTAAAGGGAGAAAATTATTATGATTTCTGTTGTTTTGTTGATCCAAATCTTTCCAAAAAATTATTAAGTTATTGAATATGAAACAGTTTATCAGTGGCTTTGATTATAAGTAGGGGACAACTGTGAGAAAGACTCGATGTAAGAACTGGCACATGTGAATGGGAAAATCGCTAAAATAAGTGAAATAAGGTATTCTTAAAGGGAGAAAATTATTATGATTGCCATTGTTTTGTTAATCCAAGTCTTTTCAAGAAATATTAAGTTATTGAATATGGAACAGTTTATGGCTTTGATTATGAGTAGGGAACAACTGTGAGAAAGACTCGCTGTAATATGAAGGGCCAATATGTAGGAACTTGCACATGTGAATTTAAAACTCCTTAGGAGACTTATGTTTGGTTACTTGGGCCGTCATGTAAGGTTGTAGTGAGAGAAGTGTTGTGTGGCGAGCCGTAGTGTAAATGGTACCCATAAATTTGCTAATTGTGTATCATTTAGCTACTTTGTGGGGGTGGGTGTTGCTGATAAAGCCGTGCATGTAAATAAAATCCTACATTAACGGCACAGACAAATTAAAATGAATTTTAATCATTAGGATTATTAAGTGTTCAGTTGGTAATAACACACAACTAATAACCCGGAGGCTCGAGTTCAAACGTGTCGCCATTCGCTTCTTTGACGAGGGTCAAAAGCTCGTTACGTCAGCTTTAAACACTCTTTACGGTGGCCAATTTACATTGTCAACTCATTTGATAAAATCAAATGATCTCTTTATACCCCCCCCCCCC